ATAACAAAACACTTACGATTACACCAAACATTAAAATATATAAAAATAGCAAAAACTGTAAAAAAGGCCACCTTCAAATGTGAGTTGTCATTTTTTTCATGATTCTTGTTAATTCTAATAGACATAGTTTATAAACATTTGAAGGAGATCAAAAGTGCTTACTTTTGGCACATTTAAAGGATCAAAATTACTCTGAAAATAGTTAAGGAAGTACTTTAAACCTATCCCAAACATAAGGGACTACTTTGTCATTTTTGCTACAAAAACAATCAAAATCCAAGCTCAATCCCCTAAACCCTGTCTCGACTTACAGTAACTCGAATCAAAAGCTCAGTCCTCTTTTGTCACTGTAAGTCTCTCTGTACCTCCATCTCTGTTTTGTATTTTTTGCTCTAATTTATTCATTTATTTTTTTCACCTGTTCCTTAAAAATTTAATTTAGTGATTCATTCTACTTTAACTGTGTGCCAAACTGTGGTATGGGTTTATTAGTGAATTGGCTGAATTTGATGGTGTGGACATAGGTGTTTTAGTGCTGGGCATCAAAATGTTTAAAAAATTACGTGAAGGAATGAACAATAAATGGTTAATTGGATGCATAATTTTTGGGTGACCAAAATGAAAAGACAATTTTTGGCGTTTGGGCGTGAAATTTGCTTCTAGTGGAAAAGCCTCTGAGTTAGATTTTTAAAAAATTTATTAGATTATTAAAGGTGGTTTTTCGAAAAATAAACGAAAATAAGTCTTTTTTTCCTGTGTGTTCTCTTAGCCAGGTGTTTTTCACGTAAAAATCTCTGTGCACTTTACTTTCAGTATTTATTATTTCGCAAACTGCTGTAGTTAGAACACTTAGAAGAACCAGGTTCTTCTAACGCGAAAATTAGGTACCACACAAATCACCCCCCTCTTGTGTGGCATTGACGTTTAGAACATCAATTGGTATCAGAGCAGGCTATCCTTGAAGAGGTTAACACCTTAGGAAAAGATCAACATGAGTGCACCACCTGGGAACTGGGAAGGGCAATCTACTGCCAGGCCTCCTCTCTTCAATGGCCTCTACTACTCCTGGTGGAAAAACAGAATGAGGGACCATATAATGGGCGAAGACTATGAGCTTTGGGATATCATCACTGATGGTCCTTTAGCCACAACCAAGAAGAATGCTGAAGGAGTGGATGTTCCAAAGACAAGAGTAGATTGTACTGCTGAAGATCTAAGGAAATGGGAGAAAAATGCAAAAGCCAAGAAATGGTTAGTGTGTGGACTTGGTCCTGATGAGTACAGCAGGATTCAAGGCTGTACTACTGCCAAGGAGATTTGGGACACTTTACAAGTGGCTCATAAAGGAACACCTCAGGTGAAGAGGTCAAGAGGAACACTGCTGTATTCTCAATATGAGAATTTTACTATGAAGGATGGAGAAACTATCCAAGAAATGTATACCAGGTTCACTACACTGACAAATGAACTTGAGTCTCTTGGAAGGATTATCCTGGAGGAAGACAAGGTGGAGAAGATTCTAACTAGAGTTTTGCCAATCTCCTGGGAAAGCAAAATCACCGCCATTCAGGAATCCAAGAACATTG